TTAATATGAGGGGGCCGAAGACAGCCATTTTTTAATATATCAAAACTAGTTCTTTTTAATGAGTTTAGAACTTCAAGAGATTATATGACTCTACTTCCACCCCTTTCCTGAAATTAGCAGGAAGACTGCGCTACCTCTACTCCTCCACATAAACACTTGTCATTTCTTTCTTTCTCTAAGCCACCCATAAAAAAAAAATTGCTTTTACATTACTATACTTATTGCTAGGAATTTGCTGGTTTGTTCTCTTCAAATTAGTTTATACCATAAAAATAAGTTTTTTAAACCCTTAAATCTAATATTCTTTGCTTCAAATTCTAATAGGTTATTTATTAAAGTAAAAATGCTTACATTTTTTTCCTTTTCATTAATCAAGTCCACTGCTTCACAATAGAATGTACACTGCTAAGGGTATGTATTTTATATGACCTGCTACTATCCTGAGTTAGAATATTCTGTTTATGTAAACTTACTTTATTTAAATGTATGCTGAAGGAAATGAAAACAGAAACTTGGGCTCAAAAGTTCCTCTATAAACTCAACTGCACAGACAATTAAGTTAGACATGAACCATGATTGGCTAATTACGTTGTAAAAGTTTTATGATAATCCTTTAAAATTGTTTGCAGTTCTATTTTTTCTTAATTTTCACAATAATTTTCTCACCAAAATGGATAGTTAACAGTTGATATGAAAGACACATATTAGTCTTATTAAAATATCTGAGTGAAAGACTTTCAAATATAAATCACTTCATACTTATTTATAATTAAACAGCATCTTAATATGCCACAGTCTTCATTTGTAAGACTATACTGTGAGTTTCATGGCAAGCCTACGCTATGTATCCTTAGTTATTTGTTTTCTCAAAATGAAAATTCTTTTAAATTTGAATTACCCTCTATAATCAACTGTATTAATGTTAGTTTTATTTGTAAACATACTCCATATAGGTGCCTCTCTATCAATACTTATCCCATTGTATTACAAGAGCTACTTATCTATTAGTCCTTCAAAGGGATGAATACAGCAATTTTCATCACTTTGCCCAAAAGAATCAATGCAGAACAGTGTTGCTGAATGAACAGCTGAATAAATGAATGGCCTGAACGGACAATCCTAGCCAGTTTATAGTGCACACAGCTTTATTCAGTTATCTCAAAAGGGATTAAAATGTTATGAAAATAAATTCTTCATTTAAAAATTTAATAGCACACAGAAAAGCTGGAGGTAATAAAGATTAAAAAAAAGGACAACAACTTAACCTGAAAGGTCTCAAACTGACAGCTGGTCAGTCAAACATGACCTCACACTTGTTTGTCTAGCTCAGGATTTTATTTTTATTTTTATTTTTGGAATTTGAATGTCTAGACAGGGCATTTACTCTTCAGTTTGTCATAGGCCCCATCATCCCTACTGCCATAGACCAGACCCAATTCATAAATCCTTGTTACCTGCTTGGCCATTTGGCATTTGAATCTGGGTTCTCAGATCTCCTAGGAAGGCAAAGTGAACAGATTACCCTGTACCTTATTATTTGCAATCACCTTTTCAGATTTAGAAAAACTTTATAGTTAACACAAAGCCATAGGAAGATAACAAATAAAAAGCCCTAGTAAAGGAATTATATTCCTACTATTATCCACCAACTAGGAAAAAAGTGAACGAAAAATGTAAATTACTTTTGAATACTTTAGCCTACCAAAGTTGAATCAAGAACAAATAGATCATTTGAACAGACTGATCACTAAAAGTGAAATAGAATCTATAATTTAAAAACTCCCTACAAACAAAAGTCTAGGACCAGATGGCTTCACAGGCAAATTATATCAAACACACAAATAACTTATACCAATCCTTCTCAAACTCTTCCAAAAAACTGAAGAGGAGGAAACACTCCCAAAGACATTCTATGAAACCACCATCACCCTGATACCAAAACCAGTCAAAGACACCACCAAAAAAGAAAATTACAGGCCAATATCTTTGGTGAATATAGATGTGAAAATTCTCAACAAAATGTTAGCAAACCAAATCCAACAAGACACAAAAAAGATCATACACCATGACCAAATGGGATTCATCCCAAGTTCACAAGGATGGTTCAACATTATGCAAATCAATCAATGTAATACATCACATTAACGAAAGAAAAAGACAAAAACCACATGATCCTCTCAACAGGTGTGGAAAAAGCATTTGACAAAATTCAACATCCATTCATGATAAAAACTCTTACCAAAGTATAGAGGGAACATATCTCAATATAATAAAAGCTATTTATGACAAACCCACAGGCAATATAATACACAATGGTGAAAAGCTGAAAGCCTTCTTGCTAAAATCTGGAACAAGAAAGGATGCCCACTCTCACCTCTTCTATTCACACAGTATTGGAAGCCACAGCAATCAGAAAAGAAAAAAAAATGAAAGGTATCCAAATTGGAAGGGAAAAGGTAAAACTGTCATTATATACAGATGATATGATACTATATATAGAAAACCCTGAAGATCCCACACAAAAAAACTACTAGAACTGATAAACAAATTCAGCAAGGCAGCAGGATACAAGATTAACATACAGAAATCGGTTGCATTGTTGGTGTAAACCAACAATGAAATATCAGAAAGGGAATGTAAAAAAAACAATACCTTTTAAAATTGCACCCCCCAAAATAAAATACTTAGGAATAAACCTGACCAAGGAGGTGAAAGACTTATATGCTGAGAACTGTAAAACATTAATAAAGGAAATTGAAGACAACTCAAAAAAATGGAAAGGTATCCCTTGCTCTTGGATTGGAAGAATTAATATTGTAAAAATAGACATACTGTCCAAAGCAATCTACAGATTTTATGCGATCCCTATCAAATTACCCATGACGTTTTTCACAGAACTAGAACAAATAATCCTAAAACTCATATGGAACCATAAGTGACCCAGGATCACCAAAGCAATCATGAAGAAAAAGAACAAAGCAGGAGGCATAACCCTCCTGGACTTCAGACAATACTACAAAGCTACAGTAATCAAAACAGCATGGTATTGGCACAAAAACAGACATACAGACCAATGGAACAGAATAGAGAACCCAGAAATAAACCCACACACCTACAGTCAATTAATCTTCGACAAAGTAGGCAAAAATATACAATGGAGAAAAGACAGTCTTTTCAGCAAGTGCTGCTGGGAAAGTTGGAGAGCCACATGTAAATCAATGAAGTTAGAACACACCTTCTCACCATACATGAAAATACTCAAAATTGTTTAAAGACCTAAATATAAGACATGACACCATAAAACTCCTAGAAGAGAACATAGGCAAAACATTCTGTGACATAAATCATACCAATGTTTTCTTAGGTCAGTCTCCCAAGGCAATAGAAAAAAAAACAAAAATAAACAAATGGGACCTAATCAAACTTACAAGCTTTTGCACATCAAAGGAAACCATAAGCAAAATGAAAAGACAATCTACAGAATGGGAGAAAATATCTGCAAATGATGTGACTGACAAGGGCTTAATATCCAAAATATACAAATAGCACACACAACTCAACAACAAAAAAACAAACAACCCTACCCAAAAATGGGCAGAAGACCTGAATAGACATTTCTCCAAAGAAGACATACAGATGGCCCACAGGCACATGAAAAGATGCTCAACATCGCTAATTATTAGAGAAATGCAAAACAAAACTACAATGAGGTACCACCTCATACCAGTCAGAATGCTCATCATTAAAAAGTCTACAAATAACAAATGCTGGAGAGGATGTGGACCAAAGGGAACACTCTTACACTGTTGGTGGGAATGTAAGTTGGTGCAGCCACTGTGGAAAACATTATGGAGGTTCCTCAGAAAACTAAAAATAGAATTACCATATGATCCAGTGATCCCACTCCTGGGCATATATCCAGACAAAAGTATAATTCAAAAAGATACACGCACCCAATGTTCATAGCAGCATTATTCACAATAGCCAAGACATGGAAACAACCTAAATGTCCATTGACAGATGAATGGATAAAGATGTGCAACATATATACAATGGAATACTGCTCAGCCATAAAAAAGAATGAAATAATGCCATTTGCAGCAACATGGATGCAATTAGAGATTATCATACGAAGTGAAGTAAGTCAGAAAGAGAAAGACAAATACCATACGATATCACTTATTTGCGGAATCTAAAATATGACACAAATGAACCTATCTATGAAACAGAAACAGAACCACAGACATCAAGAACAGACTGGTGGTTGCCAACAGGGAGGTGGATGGAGGAGAAATGGAATGGGAGGTTGGGGTCAGCAGACGTAAGCTTTTATATATAGAATGGATAAACAACATGGTCCTACTGTATAGCACAGAGAACTATATTCAATATCCTATGAAAAACCATAATGGAAAAGAATATAAAAGAATATTAAAAAAACATACACATACACACAATCACGTTGCTGTATAGCAGTAAGTAACACAAATACACAGAATAAAGGAGACCAAAAGTAGGTACTCAACTAAAAAAGGCCCTTGTCCAGATGAAAGATAAATTGCTCATAAATGGCTTTTCTCTCCTCTGATATGTTCTTGCCATCAATATCCCTCCTATCCTTTAGGGCCAGCCTAAGTCTCAACTCCAGCGCAACTTTGTAACCAAGTTCCCTGTGAAAGCAAGAGCTCACCTTCTTCAAAGAGCACTTATTGTCTTAATCAGATAACCACTCTTTACCAAAGACAGGTTGGCAAATTTCAGTAAATTTCAGTACCAGTATTTGGCACCCAAATTCAGTACGTAATTTAAATTACTATGATGTAGTACATTGGTTATTTATAATGTAAAGTACCATTCAACAATTGGTATTTATGTAGCTGGACTATCTCTTCAATTATATTACGAACATCCTATTAGTTAACATAATCTCTTCTTTGTATTTTAGTATTGCAGGTACCTGAGACAGTGCTAGATATTGCAGTGTACACATTATTGGTTACCTGTTTTTTCTGCAGATTTAGTTCCTTGATATTGAATCAATTTAGCTTGAGTTTCCGGAATCCAAGGAATGCAGATTGTCTTGGGGATATCAAAATGTTCTGGAAGGCTCAGCTCTGTTTTGTATAAAATGGACTTTGGCTTCTTCAACTTTGAGATATTAAAGAGCATACAAATCTGCAAATAAATAGAAATTAAAATTGGAATGTAATCCTCTTACCCGTTGCCTCCAAAATAAACAAACAAAAAAGACAGCATTATGTACTTAGACTCCATATTTGGGTGAAAAAAATCCCTCAAGGGATTGAATTTGTTCATTTCTTTAGACATACTATTGTTTACTTGGTAGAGGACAACACTAACATGTTTCATAGACTCAAAAGAGTCATCCTTTATTGAGAGATGCTCAATGTCACCTGCTCTAATCCTTTCAGTGATGAGGAATTCATTGTCTCAGGAAGAAGTCATTCCACTAGTGAACAGTACTGAGAAAGCACTTCCCTCTGTGAGTTGAACCTGGTGTTCCTTAACATCTTCCCATCAGCTCTAGTTCTTATCAGCAGTACAGTTAGTCCCCTCTCTTTTGCTAATGACAATTTTGGGGAAAAAAATATGCATCTATAAAACTAGGTCCTATCCCTCCACAAACCTCCAAACATCCCTTTCAAATAGGTCTGATATTTTTAGTCCATTCAATCTTTACTTATATGATGTGGTTTACAACTTACCCCCATGCATATGCTTCTCTAGACACAATCTAGTTCAACACTGTCATTCCTAAAATGGGACCCTGAAGATAAACCCAGCTCCGTAAGTATGAACTAAGCAATGCAGAGCATAGAAGTAGGCAATCGTTTAGTTTTATCTGGACCTTCTACTGCTAAACACGTAGTAGAGCCTAAGGGTTAGACCAAGTCTTCTTGAAGCCAGACTGCCTGAATTTATACCCCAATTTTAAACAAGCCTGGCCAGGTTATTAACCAAAGCCACAAAGTCTTCATTTGGGAAACACAGGCAATAATAGTACACATTGCCTATCCCTGGTATATTTAAAGTATAAACAAATGCCAGGTCCTTGGAGCATATTTTAAGAATTCAATAAATGTTGGCTGTCATTATCATCACCATTGTTGTCCTTGTCATCAACATGATTGTAACCATGATATCATTACTCAGCAAAAATAAGTTTTAGTTCCTTTGGCAATTATCCCATTCACTAGTTCATTATCTATAAAATCCACAAGTTTTTTTTTTTCCTCACAAAGCCACATTTTCCACCTACTTTATTTCGGCAATTAAAATCATGTAAATGCAGAAAGGTAAATTAATTCATTTACCACTGTTTTGGCTTGGTTTATTTTTCTAGTTATCATGAAAAAATTATCTATTCATATAAGCAACTAGTTCTTTATCCCAAAGTGGATCATCTGCCTTCTATATCTGCAAGTCATTCAAAATAATATGTATGGGGCTTCCCTGGCGGCGCAGTGGTTAAAAATCCGCCTGCCAATGCAGGGGACACGGGTTCGAGCCCTGGTCGGGGAAGATCCCACATGCTGCGGAGCAACTAAGCCCATGGGCTACAACTACTGAGCCTGCGCTCTAGAGCCCACGAGCTACAAGTACTGAAGCCCGCGCGCCTAGAGCCTGTGCTCCGCAACGAGGGAAGCCACCGCAATGAGAAGCCCACACAGTGCAACGAAGACCCAAGGCAGTCAAAAATAAATAAATAAATAAATTTATTTAAAAAAATATATAGATGTACGGATACACACTCTCTTCTTGATCAAACTCTAGTCAGGCTCCTCCAAGCCATCTTCTCAACCAGGCCTCAACTTTAGCCTATAAAAAATGCAGATTCTCAGCACAAATGATTTTGTCCACCCTTTTCCCTCACACACACACACTAAGAGACTTGAACAAGCACTAACAACGTTTCTAACAGCTCAAGGCCATATCCCTAGGACGACTCCAGTCCCCCTTAAGGTCCCTATCTGGGAAAGTTCAATGCTGCAAGGATAATTTACTGTTTGTTCCAGTCAAAATCTGGTGATAGGCAGATAGGCTCCTGAACCCCTCCTAGAGCAGTTACTTTCGAAAGCTTGCAATTATAACTCCCTTCTCTCTCCTTTTGAGATGTAAATCTACCACCCACAACTGTCTTCTTCTCAAGGACCTCAGAGCCCTCCCTTTGAAATGCAAAAATTCAAGGAGATAATGCTCCCAGCCAGGTAGGTACTTAGTTCTAACTTGCATCACTACCTCCCTCCTGTCACAAAGATTCCAGAAGTTTGTTTCTCTTTATAAGCATCAATTAACAAGTCCAGATTGCTGTGACCAACTCCCTCCTGCTTCTTGTAAACTTCACTTCGCTGACACTTCTCAGGCCCCAGCTTATTCTCTCTCCTGAGTTCAGCTCATACTGGATCCTCCTCCCTGATGCAACAGTTACTGAATAAAGTCTATGCTTGTTTTAACTAGTGTCTGGCTTTGTTTATCTTTGACAGTATCGACAGGTACTTATTTCACGATTTGAAGTGCACTTAAATTATACAAATACAAAAACCTTTTCTCTACTCTACTGAATCCTCACCAAGGGTATCTTTTAGATTTCCTTTTTAAAAATGTCAAATTTCAAAATTTCAATGAGTTTCCTCACCATTTATCCCAGAGTACAAAGCATGGCTTTTAAAACATAAAATTGAGGAAGTTAATAGAAAACATAAGGAAACTCCCTTGCAAGCTCTGAATCTTCCTACCACCAATGAGTGTATCACTAGAGTTAGTTTATTAATGGCCAGGAGAATATGAATTCAATACATGAGCGCTAAGTGTAAAGTGCCAGATATTCATGCTCCTGACAAAAGATCCTGTCTCTCAGAGTATATAAAGTAGATACATCATAATGCTATTACCTTACAAATATTTCAACAATTCAAATTGCACATGGCTGTATAATAAAAAATTAGACATGTCACTTTTCTTTGGTGGAAAAGTAATTACATTTATTCAATTAGATTTTGCTCTAAACAGATTTATTTCAAGGATAATTTTAGATTTTATTTCTTATATGGTTATTTTATGCTATAACAGAGAATTCTAGACTTTCATTTATTCCATTATACAATTTCATGGCAGTAAACTAAGAAATGAACATATGATCTGGAGGCTATGCAGGGCAAGGAAAAGAGTAATGGACTCTGGGAGGTAAAAACCTAGGCCCATTTCTAATCTGTCACAAATCAGTGGTGTCACCTTGGGCTACTATCTTACTATTTTGGGGTCTTGGTTAATAGGTCTGTAAAAGTAAGAGGTTGTACTATGTGTCTCTGAGTGTTCAGCATTATTTATTTTCCAGCTTTAAAATACAATAATGTCTCTACCCTGATCTAGGCTGTAATCTCTGCCCTGTCAGTGAGGGCAACTTAGGTCTTTTTATGCCTCAGTCATTCCACTTGTTTTGTATTACAAGTGTAATCCTATCTTCTCTCCACTTCTCCATGGGGTCATGGAAATAATTTGCAAAGTGTACATAAAAGTATTTGGGGAAAAAAAGGTGTCAAATACTATACAAGGAGAGAGAACTTTTAAAATCAATTCTGTTTACTGTTCTGCTGTATTAGCATTATTATATTTCAACGGTGCAGTGATAATTGCACTTGAAAAGAAAACTCTATGACTACATGTATATCAACAGAATAAGATGTGCCTATACGTTCTGATTTGGTAGCTGATTTTCTTAGACTGGCATATTCAACACTTCTGTAGTTATTTTTTGCATTTAGAGAGTTTTTGCCAAAATAAAAAAAAAATTCATGATTATTTGTAGACTTCAAAGAAAACTGTAATCTTCAAGTGAATAAAACTTCTCATTTTAAATTTACAGACTGCTTAAAACATTTAAATTTTAAAGAAGTCAAGATTTAATCATAAATAATAATAATTATTGCTATTTCCACCAACAATTTTGGAGAAGTGGAGACATACATATACCCATCCTGCAAAGGTGGGAGGGAAATAAGGATAAGTAAACAGCAAGATGACTTTGTGAAAAATCAGGCTATGAGGCAACCTGGATTGACATCAGCCTATACAACGAAGACTACAGGTTTAAAGTACCATTTGTTTGTCAGGTACATGTTCAATCCAATTAAACAATGACAGCACTTCTCATGCACAAGACACTGAGGGATAGACAAGAAAACACATGACAAAAGTTTTTAGATTTCTAGGAATTCACAATCTGATGGGGAAAATAGGTAAATAAAAAAAAATCATATACAAAACATAATTTGATAAATGCAATAAGAAACAAAAAGTGTGCTGGGTTCCAGGGAGAAAGTTAAAGAAGAGGGAGAAAGATAGAAACTATATACATGCATAAATAATAGAAAAGGGATCCACAGACAAAATCCATCTCCCTCAAGCATTTTTTCATTTACATAAAATTTTCGACAAGAGGTACGAATGAAGACAATTTAAAAGAAAAGAGGGAGAGAAAAAGAGAGAGAGCACTATAATAGGCATGAATTTTGAAAAAAAGCCACCTATTGAACATTTTTATTGTAATAGTGCACTGCAAGTTGAACACAAACCTTCCCAAATGCACTGCTCTATAGCAGAAGTAAGCATTTTGGTATGAGCTGAAGAGAGAGCCATTGGCTTCTTAGATGCACAGTGTGTACAGGTCAGTCTGGAGGATATCAGAGCCTTGGGCCTTGATATTTTTGACCTTATCAGAACTTAAAAATCCAGGTCATCCATAAAATAACAGCACAAATTGTTAGAAATTGGTGCTTAGACTATATTCATTCTAGCATTCTGACAAATAAAAAAATAAATCACCCCTACAATGCCAAGGGTTTTGTTGTAACCTATGTAAATCAAGACTAACATTAAACGAGCAGGATTCTAAAAATTACTATTTATTCCTTCAGTGAACAAAGATTTAGTGACTACCTTTGGTACAGTGCACACTTTTCTAGGCACTGGTGATATGAGAGTTAACTAAACAAATATCTTCTCACAAATTCCCTTGCTGGAGATAAAGAGTAAACACATAAATATACTACTCTCAGATGGTAAATGCTACTGACAAAGAAAACTGAAAGAAGTTTAGGGTTTGGAAAGTGGCTGGCGGAAGTAAGGGATTCTTTTAAAAATGCAAGCTGGTAAAGCAGAAGCTTAGCAGTAGCATTCCAGCAGACCTGAAGTAACTGAGGGACGCAGCCTCTCACGCCCAGAGAAAAGCAACAAAGGACAGACGTGCACAGGCCGCAGGGAGCAGGCCTTCTTCGGGCACTGGAAGAACAGCAAGAAGGCCTGTACCCAGGGAGGGACAGGAGTGAATGGGCTCCAGTGGAGATGCTAAGGTCAGGAAAGGGGATGGGCCTGACCAGGAGGGTCATGAAGACCACCGTAAAGATGTTGGTTTTCATTCTGACGCAAGCTAGAAAAGCCAGGGCAGCAAAGGAGCAAAGTGTGCAGGTTACCATTTTAGAAGAATCGCTTTCGTGGCTCTGTGGCGACTCGACTGTACCTTATTTCAATTATAAGATAGAGTTCAAGCTGTAATACAGTAGAGTCTACAGTAACAGTAACAACAACAACAACAATGCCATACATCTAGAGAGCACTAATTATATACTAGGTACTACGCTAAGCATTTTATATAATTATCTCACTTAGTTTCCATTAATGACCATTATCTCCTTATTACAAATGTAAAAATCAAGGCTGGAGGAGTTTTAAGTTACCAGCTCACAGTCACACAGCTGGACAGTGTTAGAGTCTGGATTCTCAGCCTGGTAATCTGACCCCAGAAATGATCCTCTCTGGATGAACAACAGAATATCCTGGACAACCTGTAGAATATGTCCCCACTCACCCCCTTCCAGAGACTGATACTGAATTGTTCTGGTGGGGCCTGAGCACTGGGATCAGTTCTCCAGGGCATCCCAATGTAGAGGCAGAATTGAGAACTACTGTGAAATATCAACCATACTGTAATGCCTAAAATTACCTAGCAGAACAATTTGTTTCAGATTTATTATTTAATGAGGTAAAAAAGAAAAAAGCTACTGAGCTGTCCTTCTGAGGAAAAGCAGCTTTCATCATTTTTATATGTAAAAACATTGTTATGATCTCTGTACATTTTTAAAGAGAGACTAATTTCAGCACATCCTCTGTCCTCCATTCCCACCTTGATCTTGGTCAGCCCCAGGAGGGTGATGGCCAAGCGGATGCTACTGCTCTCCAGAGTGCACGTGATCAACCTTCTCTCATACTCTATCTTCGACATCTGCTGCTGTGCTGCAAAAGCCAAGGCCTTCTCCTTGGCTTCATTAGTCAGTGGCAATTTAAGGTCCACATCCAGGATTTGACGGAGCTTACATTTCAAATACAGAACTGGATCTTCCTTATTAAGCACTAGGGGAAGCCAAAATTATTCATGATTGCAATGATCAGTTACACCCTTAACGTTGTTATCCAGGATGGACTCGGGAGGTCTGAAATATAACACTGCAGTTATGGCCTTTATTAACCAGAGTAGAAAGAAATAGGCAACACATCTCTAGTAGTCCTAATTCAGTAATTCAAGAGTAAGTCTTCAGGAATTAAAGATATTTTTCTCTACAAAGAGTTCTAGTCAAGTGGTTCTTTCGTAGAAACATCATCAACTTGCTAAAAAATTCAGTGGCCATTGTGCTCCTACCAGTGGTTAGAAGGTAGGAGGAACAGAAAGAAATGTAAAGAAAGACACCTCTCAAGGACGGGCAAGAATTGCCATTTTCTTTCAGTAATAACCTTACACTTTAAACTAGGACATTGGGTAGAAGTACAGGTTATATTATAGTATATAGAATTTGACATTGTAGTTATTTCCAAGTTACTTGGAAAATGGAAAATTTTGCTGAGTAAATATTTTGAATGCCAAATTATAATATTTACCTGAAGACTAAAAGAAATAAAGATTTAAAAAAGAATCACCATCGACATTTTCTTAATTGTTAAAATGGTACTCTATTCCATGTATGCTGACATAATAAAGTTAAAAGGGAGCCTTCAGAAATGTAATCATATATTGGCAAAATGTGCTGTGAGGGTGCTTAGGTGACTATATGAGGAATGGTACCATCCTTCAACATTAGAAATGAAATAAAATGCACAGATACTCTACCTTCTTCTGGAGAACTGCTATGGTCAAGCGGAGTTGAAGAATCCATTGGAAAGAATCTGGAAGGCAAGGGGATCATACTTCTTCCTTCCAAAGCATATATTAATTCTCCAATCTAAAACACAACCACACAGTAATATTAAATTTTAAAAGTTCAGAAAAAGATTACGATAAATCTTTCACCTATGAGAAAAATCTTTGTACTATAAAAACATGTATTGTGCATTACTAAGCAACACAGGCCCTAAATGGGTGGAGAAAGGTAAGGATGAAATACAGCCCTACCATAGTATGAGGGAAACTTTGCACGCAACTAGAACAGAGATGGATTGAGAAGGTCTCAGGGCGGCACTGACAGCAGTTGATCGTTATAGGTACAAATATCCTTGGAAGACTGTTAGCTTAAAACAAATGAATTCAAGCAAATGAGAAAAAATTTTCCTTCATTTTGTGATTTATTGTTGGAAGGGAGTGACATCATTTTTGCAGGGTGTCTGAGTCCCTAAGAGTCTATATTTTAAAGTGGGGGGTTTCAAAATGTGCATGTGAGGGTCTGAAGATCTTTTAGAATAAGTGATTAGGCAAGAAGTACAAAAGACTAAACAGCATGAAACTAAAAGTGGGAACAATGCAAGGGCAACAACATGATATAGGGAAAGACCAACAGAGGTGGACAAGCCTGGTTTTAATTCTGGCACTGGCACTTACTACCTACTAATAAGCCTCAGGCAAGTTTACTGAATCTCTGAGTTCCAGTTTCTTCCTCTATAAAATGGGATGAACAACACTTTTATGTTAGGAACCCAGAGAGTAAATGAAAAATGAGAGGGAGAAAGTCTCAAAAGACACATCATACAATCACAATGGATAAATATCATCTAGATCTTGATTCTTCAGTGCAGCAGACTATGCTATCCCAAAACATGACTGTAGGAGTTCAGGATGTGCCACAACAAAATATGCTGCTTTGGTATATTGATTCTTTTGAGCTGTAGGCACCTGAAAAACAGGGAGAGCTTTCTATGAACTTCCCTTATCTGCCTAAGACAGATACTCCAGAAGGAACTCGATTGTTGTAAATCCCCTCCCTGAGAGTTTCATCAACTAGGGAGTATTGACGCTTGTCACACGAAGAGACTAGAAGTTGACACCACAACCAAGCGTTGTCACAAACTATCATATCTTTCATCTACTCTTCTAAGGGCCTATTCATTTTTCCTAAAAATCATTTACTCTCCTCTAAGTGGCTGACATCCCTCCCTCCCCTTTCCTTATTAAGATGGTATTTAAGCCTGAATTCTAAGCCACCTCACGGAATTAACTCCTTTTTCCTTGGGTATCTCCCATGTATATATGAGGTATACATGTTAATACACTTCTGTTTTTCTCTTGTTAATCTGTCTTTTATTACAGGGGTCTTAGTCAAGAAGAACTCAGAGGAGTAGAGGGAAGATTATTTTTCCTCCCCTGTATTTCAAACAAAGAAACTTAAAATGAAATGATAAAAACAAACAAACATAAAAACAATAATGAGACAATCAGGGAAATACGAAGAATGCCTTGATTTTTGATGCTATTTAAAAAAATACGATATTTTTAGTAGTAATGGTATCATGGTTATGTCAAAAAAATAAAACAAAACAAAAAACAAACCCAGAGTCTTTTTGTTGTAGAGACACTTCCTGAATTATTTGTGGACAAAATGATGTGATGACTGAGATTTGCTTCATGAAACTTGCTTGGCAATGCACTGTTGAAACTGAGCAAAGGATACAGGGGGTGATATACTACAGTTTTATTTCTACAATTCTGTGTATTTTATATGTTCCATAATACAGTCTTTTCTTTGTTTCTTTTTCTTTTTTTAAATTGAGGTATATTTGCTTTACAATATTAATATAAGTTTCAGGTGTACAACACAGTGATTCACAATTTTTAAAGGTTATACTCCATTTATAATTATTATAAAATATTGGCTCTAGTCCTTGTGTAGTACAATATATCCTTGTAGTTTATTTATTTTATACATAGTAGTTTGTGCCTCTTAATTGCCTACCCCTATATTGCCCCTTCCCCTTCTCTCTTCCCACTGGTAACCACTAGTTTGCTCTTTGTATCTGTAAGTCTGTTTCTTTTTGTTATATTCATTCATTTGTTGTATTTTTTAGATTCCACATACAAGTGATATCATACAGTATTTATCTTTCTCTGTCTGAAAGCCTTTTTTTTAATGCTGATATTTTAAGAAGTAGAATGATAGTAAAGATGTGGTGAGGACTACAGGAGGTCATGCAACAACTGTTGCCATTTCACTTGTTATCTAAGATATTACAATTTTTTGGTATATTTTTATCATGTGATTAGTTTACTTTTATATCATTTACATATACGTTGCTTGTTCAAACACAACTTTAGAATAATCTCTAACCCTTTGCCTGGCACGTACCAGGCACTTATGAGATCCATTTAAATGGAGTGAGAGCAGGCTTCCCAAATTTCACGTGCATGTCAATCACCTGAGGGTTTAAAATAAAAATTAAGTTAAGAAAAAAACAAAAAAAAGATCTAGGGTGGAGCCAAGACTTGAGAGGATGAGTGAAAACATGGACTGACAAATTTAGGTTTAAGCCACACAATGGATAATCTTGTACCAGAATGGGCTTGTGACAGGCATGCAACTAACTACCAGGCAAGCAAAAGGAAACCTAACTTCGAAGCTGGGATTGTAACTCGTTTGAACTGTTGCACAGTCTTAAAATAATCTCAACTGTATGTTTGAGAGACTATTCCAAAGATATCTTTGAACAAGCAATACACACATAAATGATATAAAAGTAAACTGATCACATAATAAAAATATACCAAAATGTTATAAATATCTTTGATAACAAGTGAAGTAAAAATCTGGAAACAATATAAGAATGAACAATTTCTGATTGTGAGGACAATTTATTTACAGCTTCATTATCCCTCCCCAAATGAGATTTGTTTATAATAAAATTAATTTTGTCTTCTACTTTCACGATAATGTTCAATACAATTTTATTAATTACAATCCACAATTATCTTTAGTTCCTGCTGAAAAATGGAATATGGAAAACTTTGAATGTTTTAAATTGCTTAGCATTTAAATCTGTACACTCCTAGTAATAAATAGTATGTTATATATAATTTTCATGGAGTAATTTTTACTAAACAGCCATGTACTTTTCAAACATAAATGCAAGCTAGCAATCTGAAATGTGTTTACTGTGTATGTGTGTGTTTTACTACATACAACTGAATGATCGATACTAACGTTATAAAATTTTCAGATCCCGCAAGCTGCACAGTGCGGCCAAAAAAATTTTTTCTCAATGATAATTGGAGTGCAAATGTATCAGTTCACCAGAGACTGGAGAAAACAATATGTTAATATTTTACTTTTAATTTTTTTCTCATGTTTATTTTTATCTAAAAATCAGTTGTTTTACCCAAAGTGTAGTTGACAGAAGACATTTTCACATGTTGAGGTATGGGGAAATCATTCTGGCTTATATACGATTTGGCTCAAACTTTATGCTAACTAGAATAGCCTGTCTTATGGCCTGTGAAACATGAATTTTACATCTGCCTTAACCACTAAAGAAAAGAATAAAAATCATTGGAGTAATTGTGGTTCAGGCATTCAAAATGGATGCGGGTGGCTATTGCAGATGTAGTTTCAGACACATTCCTGCATCACTGAGAAACTGACCTTTCTGAACTGTTTCAAACTTAAGGACACCGCTAGCCATTCTCAAAACAATACCTGCTAGCAGCTGCCAGATGCAACCTTATGATCTCAAGGTCTCCTCTTGTAACTGTGAAAACACTTCAGAGTCCAAACCAATCCTTGCTTAACAAGATCCTTACTTCTTGCCAGCTCCAATCCTAATTCTTGACAATCAACTTATGTAACTTTTTGATTTTTGCCTATATTAGCCTCCCACATTTTGTAGTATGGGAGAACACAATTCAAGTGCCTCTTGAATCTGTGTCCCAGGCCACAGTCCCCAGTTTAGCTCAAATAAAACTCTTTTCCTTTCCTATTATAGATTGTTAATTGATGATTTGTGTTGACATAGTCTTCGTAAGAAATTAGACTTGGTGAGTATAGAATTATAATAATTGCTTTTTTTTTTTTTTTTTTTGCGGTACACGGGCCTAACACTGTTGTGGCCTCTCCCGTTGCAGAGCACAGGCTCTGGACGCGCAGGCTCAGCGGCCATGGCTCAGTGGCCCAGTCATTCCGCAGCATGGGGATCTTCCTGGACAGGGGCACGAACCCACGTCCCCTGCATTGGCAGGCAGATTCTCAACCACTGCGCCACCAGGGAAGCCCATTATTGCATTTTTTTAAATGTGTACCTGAATGAAACCAGATCTATATAGCTTGTCTACTCCATAAAACTGAACACCAATTCACAGGATTTAATACAAAAGGAGTAAACTGTTATTTTCCAGAATATTTTTCTAAAATGTAAATTATAAACAGCTTCCTAGCCATTGATTAGCCACTTGACATGTCAGTTACTAAGACTCTGTTCAATTCAGCTCTACATCTTAAACAGACAATATGTTATCATTTCTCAAAACAGTATGTCTAACTTGTTCACTTTCAAAGTTCTTTTTTATTAAAAAGAAACAATTTAATTGAATATAATGCCTGTTCCAGCAAATTATTTAGGGAAGTCATTTGTAGTACCACTTAATTATTTCCCTCCACTTTTCTTGAAAGAAAATGAGACCAGGAAAGAATACAAATCCAATAAAGAACTCTTTTAAAGTGGAGATGCACTTTTCATTTCAAGTCTAGAGGCAGAGACAAGGATACTGACAGTATGCGTCAGTACCTATTATCTGATGCATAATAGGTACTTGTCAATGTGAGCTATTCTAAGAGTCACCTATTAAATTTCCTTTCTGCTCTTAATTTCATATTTTACAGTCGGCAGGTTTACTTGAATTTATATTTTCCAGAAAGATGCCAATGCCCATTGTCAACTGTAAGAAAGCCTCACAAAAGATATTTTGTTCTTCCTGTGTATCTAGTTAAATGCAGTCCTCAAACAATAAAGTTCATGCAACTTTAAC